TTCGCAACACATTTAGGGTCAGTTAGCACTCATGGGTCATCATGCGTGCTATGAAATTTTTAAAAAGGTTTAACTTACTCCGAATCTCAAATGGCATTCTTTTGAGACGGATTGATTCAACGATGATTCACCTCTTCGATCGCTTACTCCCTCCAGCAGCATGCAGAATACCGACGGCTGCAGACAGAAATGTGCAGTGCCGAGTCCGGAAAGGTTGCGAAATGTGCAGTAGCTGCAGGTCCTGCTCCTGTACGTGATCCTGTCTGCCGCTCGCGCGATCCCCTACGAAATCCGTGGTTTGCACTGAAACCTCCGTGATTATATTCCCTGGGGGCGGGCCAATCATACAGCAGTGACGACTGACGACCGTCGACTCAGTAACAAGCAAGGTGTGTACTCCTGCACCTGGAGCTACGTACGTACTAACATTACAAATACCTGGCCTTTTTGTTGTTTACCTCTCGCGCGTACTGCCACCTCCGTATGCAGTTCTACCACCGTAGTGCGATAAAAACTAATACATGTTCTTTGTCCCTGCACGAATTATAAATCGCAACACAACACTCCATGCTGCAGCATTATTATTCAGATGTCTGTGTGTGTGTTTTTTGCCTTAATTTTATTAGCTGCCTGGCTAGTTCCAGGCAGGTTAAAGCTGCATGTGATTATACCAGGCTACCGGCCAAAGTTGGACGATGATATGGTTTGTTCCGGGGAATTGAAGAAGTGCACCGCCCACTTGATATTGTACTGCACTGTGCATTTTACGGCACAGGGCGGGCGTTCCATAGAAGGAAGATTCCTAGTAACTTCACCACCCAAAACAGCCCACATGTACGTCAGGAGTAAGATAACCTTTGCTTGTCTGCGTGTAGGAACAAAAATGCTAGCTTGTCTCAGTTCTCTCGTTCCCCGCCCTCGTGGCTTGTGAGGCGGCTGAGACTCAAAATGGCAACGGGTACCCGAAACCCGAGTACCCGACGGGTTTTACCCGATAAGGAGACGAGTATGGAAGATATTTTGCACCCGCGGGTACGTTATTGGACGAATTCTTGTACCCATCGGGTATGCAGGTACGGGTGTGGTGTATCTACCCACACCTTAAAGCAGCATGTAAAAAAACCGATAAATAATATCAAACCTACCGCAATTTTAAAGTATAAGCGATGCTATATTTTGCCCATATAAGCATATGAGTATATATATTTCAGAACTCCTCAACCCTAATCCCCATATAAGCATATTTGGAATGAACCAATGAGACATATGATCTATTTCAACTAGCTTGACACATATATTTCGTTTTCATTGCTCTATTATTGATTTATTTTAGTTTGGAAGCTATTATATTTTGGTGTGTGAACTTGGGTATATTGTTGGGTGCGGGTTACCCGTCGGGTAAGAATTACCTTTCGCTTGTCTGCGTGTTTTCTACCCGTCAAAAACCCGACGGGTAAGATTTTGATCTCGACGGGTTCGCTCGTGCCCGCGACTCCATCAGTGCGCACTCGTGCCATCTTTAGCTGAGACTACTCGCCCAAATGGATCATGCGTATGCATGGACGACAAACGAGCTAGGAATGAATTTCTTTCGGCCCTGGGCAAACACGTAGACAAGCATGTGACTGTGACAATCTTTTATACTTGAATAAAAAGTTTAGGCTTTCACTGCTACAGATCCATGGATCAGTTGGGTCTATATACCCGACATCACCGTCGGAACTAAATTCAGGGTAGAGAATAATCGGTGCTGATGGAGCTCGCCATTCACTACCGGTTCTTGGACCCGTCAATGATCAGAACATCTTATTGTCGGGTTCAAAACTAGACCGAGCAGTAGCGATAGCAATAAGATCACTAACGGGTCCAACTTTAACACGATAGTGATAACATTGGGGTCGCTGTCGTGTCAATGGAAGCATCATAAATATACATTCGGAGAACCACTTTGGTTGTACCATACCATTGTACCATACCATTGCCATTGTGTTGAGCAACCTTTTTACTTACAGCTACCACATCTGGATTGCCCTCATATAAAGCTTATAATCGAATGGACAGGAAGTCAGAAATACAATATCCAATGTTCGCAAGCGCCATTCTTTCATGTTTTCACAACATTTTTCTCTATGGTTCTTTGATAGGGTGCGTTGCTCCCTAGAGAAATTTGTAAAACGTATCTAGGGGTACCCCACTAGCAGCGATGGTGAAATTGATACGACTCTCCATCATGGAATTTGGTTGTCATATTATTAATCTGATGGACTCCAAGGAACACTAGTGGACCTTGGAGCCATCTGATCGGCTTAAATTTTTATGATAATTTCAAAAGGATGTTAGGAAGGATATATTATGTAACAAAGTTTTAAAAAAACATAAATTGACTAATTGAGTGGAAGATAAGATTTCTTATTATTATAGTCAAATACGGGGATTGTGCCCGCTCCATAGTTGGCTTAACTACATAAATCTAGGGGAAATCCTGGTGCCTAAGAGGGAGGTGGAGGTCCCTACATACCTGATGTAAGCCCAAGTTGAAGCACATATAAGGAAATACAAAGGCACATAATTTACAAATCATTACCTTCCCATATAAAGAAAATGGGGAACACATCATATGATTCACAAACAAATGTCCTGAACAAACCTTTGAAAAAACCATATCATATCCTCGTGTCTCCGTTGAACAGATTATGCATGTGGGTTGTTACATATAAAGTTTGTAATCGAACATATGAGAGGTCATGAATATATTATGCATTATCCGCAAGTGCCTTCGTACATGCTTTTGCAGCATTTCCCTCAGTAATTCTTTGCTAGGGTGCACTCCTTCATAAGCACAAACTCTCACTTGACATAACCAAGCCTATTAAGAAGACTGGATGCACATTGGCTACTCTCTAAGCACTAATGGAGTCCATAATATTCAATCAAGACTTTATAATCACTCTAATAAGCCAAATCACTCCCCTTAATCCAAATGTATGTAGCTAACTATACCTATCTTCTAAGAGTCACCAAATGCACAAGATGATGGGCTATATATAGACCAAACACCCAAAACTAGTTCTTAACTCAGCCAAAAATATTGCATCAAATTTCTTCAATGTTTTTTTCTTCCTGCAGCAACGGAGAGTTCCAATGCCCTTCAACACTTAGGGCTTAAAATTTTAAACTAGACGTTACTATACGGGGATAACTCTGGTGGGTAGTCGGGTGGAGCACCATAGAATTCCAGCGAGTCTGTTTTTTCTCTTTTCAGAAAATATCCACTCTGCAACCAATCTTTGATACATCACTAGAGAACTCTGGTGTAGTCTTTGCCTCTCAATCAGCTGCGCACCCTCTTTGTGCTTTCACTCTAGTGCTAATCTACAGTGATTTCACTAGAATTACTTGGTGAACTATATAAGAACAAACCCTAGCCATGCATTATTCTTCCAAGCTCCGGTGGTTTCTCCGTTACCCACACCAGAGAGCTGTGGTGCTCATAAAGCATGTGCATTTCATCTATTTTATCTTCTTCGAGATTCGCTTCATCCATCCTTGACTTCATCCGAGCTACCTAGTGCTAGTTTTCACAAGTATGCATCACATCCACTCGCCTAGACATATTTAGGTCAAGCTACTTGTTCATACACCTCTTTATAGTGAGACCAAATGAAAAAGAAAGAATCTAGCTACCCGTTCATCCACTGAAGGCTAAACAACACTTAGAACTAGTTCATCCTTAACCTTCATGCATACCCTTTGAAAACCAATCGAAATCCATCATTAGGGGCATAAAAACATATGAGCTCAACCAATACCCACCATTCTGACCTCAACAAGCAATGCCGTTGCAAAACAAATGTTAGTCGTAATGATTGTGTCGTCATTAATCGTTAAAACCGAGTTAGGTGTCTAGATGCTTTCAATATAATCCTTATATATAAAATTCGCTAGTTAACACTTTAAACTTGCATGTTGAAAAGGCAAAAGTACAACTAGGGCTACATATCTGTCGACAAAATTTTCCAACAAAATCTGTTAGCTAGATTTGACCACCAAATGTTGCTTTTGTGATGTGCACCTTGACTACTTTTTCAATCATGATTTCTTATTGTTTAAACTTATTATAACTTTAGCTCTTTAGCATGTGTAAGTTCTATTTGTTTTGCCTTTGTTTTGCTTTATTTATTTCTTTAGTTTGTGGTGTTTCACTATTGTACAGTTTTAACGTAGTTATATAAGTACATTCTATGTTAAGTTAAATTAAAATGATAAAAAAGCCTGACTTATTTCATGTAAAGAAATCTATCGACAACTATTATCGTGTGCTATTGACAGATCCTTTATTGCTCTTTGGTTGCTTTGATAAAATATTTGTAACTCCATCATGCACATGCATGTAGTACGTACATGCTTAAGGAGAGTACTCACTAGCTAGTAGTACTCCAATCGTATCTCGAACCATGCTGCTGCACAAGATTGATAAAGCACCACAGTCTAGCAATTGAGATCCCACTCCACTCGTATTCGCATCAGCCACAAGCCCACAATACTGCAAACGCAGCAGGAACCCACTGGACATCGCCATGGTTCGCGGCCAGTCCCTCTGTATCTCCCCTGGCCGTAGCTGTAGCCCGTGGCCGGTGCCGTTACAAAAATATAACCCGGAACCCGACGAGCTCCCGCTGCCGCTGCCGCTGCCGCCTCTGCGCGCACCCGGAGCGCCCAGCTCAAAGGCCGCCTCTGCTTCCGCGAACCGGCCAGTTGAGCGAGCCAGCGAGGCCCCAAAACCATTTCGCATTTTTCCCTTACCCGCTTATATATATACGCGGCTTTACCACCGTTACCCCGTCTCACATCGCTCCCGGCTGCTCCCCGCCCACCGCCCGCCACTGGATTTAGCCACCGCCCGTACCGGCAGCTCCAGCAAGATTGCCACTCACTCTCTCACACACACTGCGTAGTGCGCAAGGCTCCGACTTTGATGCGCGTAGCCACCGCCGCGGTCCATGGCCTCCGCCGTCGCCAGTAACCTCCCCGCGGCCGCGCCAGCCGCCGTGCCGGTGCCGGTGCCGTACGGGTGGCTCAGCAGCCCGCGCGTGTCCTTCAGCCGCGACGCCGCGGCCGCCGCCGACCTGGTGGTGGTGGATCCCGTCGCCATGGCCGTGGCGGCCACGCCGGAGCCCGCGATCTCCAAGGACTTCATCGACTTTGAGTTCAGCCTCGGCGGCTCCGCCACCATGCTCCCCGCCGACGAGCTCTTCGCCGACGGCAAGCTGCTGCCGCTGAGGAAGGCGACGGCGACGCCTCTGCCGGATCCGGAGGCGGCCGCCGCGCCCCAGCCGGCGCAGCCGGAGGAGGCAATGGCAATGCCGGTGCCCAGCACGGAGCCGATCATCAAGCCCCTCCGCGCCGCGGCGGTGGCGGCGGCGGCTGACGGCACCGACCCCTACGCGTTCTCGCCCAAGGCGCCCAGCTGCTCCAGCCGCTGGCGCGAGCTGCTCGGGCTCAAGAGAGCGGCGGCGGCCGCGCAGAGCCCGAGCGCCAAGGCCTCGGCGTCGCCGTCGCCGTCCCCCACGGCGGAGAGGGCGACGAACTCCGCGGCGAGGTCGCTGAGGCTCCTGCTTCAGCGGAACACCACCGGGCGCGCGTCGGGCGCAGCGGCGTCGGACCTCGCGTCGGCGCCGCTCCTCCTCCGCGACAGCTCCGACTCGGAGGCGTCGCTGTCGCTGGCGTCCTCCCGCTTCTCGCTCTCCTCCTCGTCCTCCTCCTCCGGGCACGACCACGACGACGTGCCCCGCCTCTCGCTCGACTCCGCCGCCGTCGACCCCAACCCACCCCGCATCCGCCTGGTCCGCCGCTCGTCCCACTCCCACTCCCACCACCGCCACTCCACCTCCTCCTCCAACACCTCGTCCACCCGCGCCGGGCGCAGCCCGGCCCGGCGCCGTCCGTCGCCGCCTCCACCCCCGCGCTGCCTCTCCGTGGACTCCCCGCGCATGAACTCGTCGGGCAAGATCGTGTTCCAGGGGCTGGAACGCAGCTCCAGCTCCCCCTGCAGCTTCCACGCGGCGTCCAAGTCGCGGTCCCGCGCGGCGGTGGACCGGTCCTACTCGTCCGGCGTCCGCGTGGCGCCCGTGGTGCTCAACGTGCCCGTGTGCCCGCGCCCCGTGTTCGGCTTCTTCAAGGACAAGAAAGACACCGGCGCAGCCAAGGACGCCACGGCAGCTGCAGCGGCGGCGGCGGCGGCGGCCGCGAGGTCCAGGTCGTCGCTGGGGCGGAAGGCGCAAGGGTGGAGCGGCGAGCTGGCGAGATCCTCCGGCTGATTTGACGAACCCCGGCCGGACGTTTGACTTGACCGGGCAGCCTGCAGCCCCGCGACCTCGTGTTTGTCTCGTTTGCATGCAGAAGGGCTGTTGCAAGCCATCGACCATCATGATGATGAGAGGATGGATAGCTTGGCTGCTGGTTGGTTTTAACTGATTTTGTTTGTTCTTTGGAGACGACGACGACGACGATGGGGAGGTTGTCTAATCAACTGGCTGTTTTTTTTTTTTTTGCTTCTTTTTTGGCTCGACTGTAAATTCGAGTTTTGTACTGCTACCGCTCTTCTGATTTGGTTGAATGCGAATTGAAATGGTGGGAAATCTTCGGAAAAACGGTGCCTATGATCTGAATTTCCCGTAACCGGACAACTTGTTCGTTTCGGCTGAAACGACCGTGGATTATAAGGCAGAAGTACTGTAAGTTGGTTTGATGCGAGAAAAAATATTTGTTGCAGCTTATAATCCACGTCGTATAAGCCGAAAAGAACAGATCGTTCAGATCAGCTACTGTTCCATGTGTTGGTTCGAAGTTTGAATGGCAACGCGATGCCGATGCGAACAAAACAAAATGATGGCAGCATTTCTGGGGCAAAGCGATGGAAATCCGGGCACGCAGACGCAGTCACGCAGTTGCAGCAAGCAAGCCCTCATTGTCTGTGGTTACCTGCACTGCTCTGGATCCGGGCACTGCGCCGCATGTGCTCGCCTAATATTCGCGCAGCGCAGGCAGGCGGCATGGTGATGGTGGCCACTGGCCAGGTTTTCTTTACTCACGGCAGAGGGCAAAGGCACAGGCGTCACTCACCGCGATCGTTGCCGCCACGGCGTGGCCGAGTGGGCGTCCCATGTCACTCACCTGCGCCGCGCGGTGCCGGCGTCCGTCGAGCCGCGCCTGCGGCCTGCGGGCGGGGACCCCTCAGGCCTCAGCATGCGGCGCAAGTCTGATGGAGGAGATAAAAGAAAACAAGAGCTCAGCCGAGCTCAGATTCAGAGATCCATCAGAAGCCGTGCCAATGGCTGGGGCGAGAGCGCTCGCCTTTTCCGACACTCAACCGGTTCGCTGGTCACTGGTCAGTTTCTGAGCCTGATCGATAATAGTTTATTATGAGATAAACTATGGCGGAAACCAACGACCCAACAGGCCAGCCCTCCACCCAGCACCTGCAGTCGCACGCTGGTCGCCTGCTCCGTCCGGCCGGCCGTCGGTCCGACGGGTCTCTCGCGGCCGCGACGCGACGGCTGCCACCGTCCGGCGCCGTGACTTCCTGCCGCACCGCCGGGAGGCAGCTCAGCTAGACCGCCTGGCGCCTGCCATGGTACAGTACAGTATAAAACACAAAAAGGGCCTCGTTAATTGTATGTTCTGTCGCGGGGCTCCACCTGTGACACCATGTTGTTTATTGAATGCTAGCGGAGGCTGGAGGGACATGGACATGGACAGCCTGTACTGCCCTCTGCTGCTGCTCTTCCCATGTTGCTGCTGTGTTTTTAAGTAGAGTACATGTTCCTAGGAGTATTTTTTTTTTGGAGTAGAGGAGTCCTTGGGGAAGCAACTGGTAATGCATGGTGGATGGCCAGCCAGCCAGTGGGAGATTTGTTTGTTCCGTTGGGTTAGCTAGCTCAGCTTAGTTTAACTGAAACACAACTGGCCAGAAGCAAGTGCCAGGAGTCGAGTGATTGCTGTCGTGGAGTGAGGGAGTGGCACACCGGTGTCCGTTGTGTGACCAACGTGGCTGGCTGGCTGGCGAGCTGGAGTGCGTCAGTGCCGAGCTGGGCTCAGCAGTGCCACTTGGCCGCCGATGCATCCCCAGATCTGTGTGCTGTATGAGCAGCAGCAGGATCAGGGGGATCTGCAGAGAGAGATCGATCACACCAGACCAGCATGGCCAATGAGCCGCCCAGCAGGGAGAGAGAGATCAGAGCAGCGTACAAGTGGACGGACGGAAACAAGAAGCTGCGTAGACTGTCTACTCACGCGCGCGCGTCGTCCATGACGCGCAGTGGAGCTGTTGCTTCCATTCCATTCCACCGTGGAGCTGCGGCTGCGACAAGACAACCGAAAACACTAGTACAGTAGCATGCTGACCGCGTATTCGTCCAGCTGCTCCACTCCAATGGCTTCGGGTACAGCTGTTCCGTGCTGCTGAGCTGATGAACCACTATTGGACCGTTAGCCCATCGAGTAATAATTCGAGGTCATTTCTGAGCCCTCTTATAGTGACAAAAACATTTCAGCGGCCTATGCTTCGACTATACAACTAATAGTTAGATGCAATCTCAAAAACAAAAAAAAAAAGTTAGATGTTACAAATATCTCTAGTAGATAAAAAATACTCTGCCTAATAGTTTAATTAAGAGTTCAAAATGGAGTACTCACTTTGTCCCAAAATACGATCTTATAGAATTCATATTTTATCCTAAGATACTTAACATTCTCATTTTTCAATGTACCTTTCCTTCTCCTAGAGTGTTTGGATCCCTAGATCATAGGATTGATTGTGGTTGGTTAAAGTGAGAAATTCCTATCTTATTCTTTACAGTTTGACAAGTTGAACAATCGGTTGGGACAAGTTGGACTTTCAGCACCTATAATCTTCTATAACCTAGTCTCACCCGAATTATGAGGTTATGGTAATCCAGAGTTTTGATTATAATAATCCATCATATAACCAATCCTGTTTAGATCAAAATTTGATTATATAATCCGAGGGGTATTCAAGCAGGGCCTTAGTTCTATTATATTATATAAAGCTCTAATGTGGATCGATTGCTACAGCCAACCCCATAAAATCACACAATTTCAAATTATGTGCATAGCTCGCAAACATCCGTTTAAACTTAGTGCACCGAATCGAAAGATAGGATCATCCTCCATTATGCAGGTAAATTTTTGCTGCTACTGGGTGGATTCCCAGTTTTTTACTCGCCAGTAAGGGAATCCATTGCCATCACACCATGAACTGTCGTGCTGCAAGGTACTCACTGGCCTCTTGTGAATCAAATATCCAGATCGCCACAGTCGACAGTCGACACGCAAAAGCTGTGTATACCACCACCACCACAAGATGTCTATTCTACGCATTCAACATATACTGTACATCCTCAATGCCAAATGCCAACTCCCCAAACGACAAGTCTGTAAATGCCTCCTCAAAAACACGCGCGCGCGCGCGCGCAAGTGCGCAACTCCAAGACATTGAGGATTCAGTTGCTTGCGCTGCAGTGCTGTGAATACCTGACATACTCTGTCCGCAGCATGTTGAGCACGTCTTCATCAAGCTGCTCCAACCGACCAGAGTCTCGCAGTTTGGGGTACAGATGCGCCACGCTGCTGATGGCGGCCTCCACCAGTTCCCACTGGCCCAAGTTTGCTGCGAAGCCGATGAACTCGAGGGAGGCGTTTGTGCTGGAATTCAGGCATGAGGTCAACACTTCAAGGCTTTCTTCCTTCACTCCATCCAGGAACCAGAAGTCAGCCAGGGATGACAGCTCTGCGTACGATTTCAGAATAGATAGTTTCTCTTCTGTACTCAGAGTCTTCCATCGGCAATCAGCTGCAACTCTAGGCAGCTCGCCTGAGTAGAACCACTGAACTAGTATTATCAATGCTTCCCACCCGACCGGAACTCTGATAACCTCTGCAAAACTGCACACATGGTTCTTATCAATTGCGTCAAACATTCATGATATGTCCTTATAGATAACCAAAAAATAAAAATGTGTGTGATACCCTGCTTTGAGATGTCAGGAAACAAAAGGCATACCTCTCATGCATCCCGGACTGAAACAAAGCACGAAGGTAATCGCAGCTCACACTCAAAATGATCTTATGGCTATGGATATGAGGAGTTGATAACTGGCATGAGCCATGGTGACACTCCATTTTGTCATTAGATTGGGCCTCCAAAATGATGTCCCTGGAAATTAATGTAACGAAGTACAATGAGAGTCAGCAAAACTTGTTAAAAGGCAAAGATAGTACTGAGCATAGGGATTATAACACATGATAATAGAAGGCCGGGTGTGATCTCTTCTTGGGCTCTATCTAATAGTTTATAAAGAACCCTTCAAAGTAGCATAAGAAATTTAGAATGCAAATAACCAATATTATAACTGTGATGAACTAGAAGTTTTAGCAACAGGTGCCTGGTATCATTTGTTCAGATAAAAGTTGGGCAAAATAAAGACTAGTCAGCATGTCTTGACTTTTGGCCCACAGGTTAGAATAAATGAAAGTGTACTCACGAGAATGAATGTTTAGCTGGTTCGAGTGCTGTAGTAAGACCATATATGGGACATGAGTGCCATTTGGGTTGCTCTTTCTGAAGCATCAGGTGCAGCGATCTCAAGTGGCAATACTTTGCAAGTGTTTTTACAGGCTTAACAAGGGTATCATCTACAGTGACCAACCCAGTGTATGCATATTCCAAAATTTTCTTCAGAGCGTGACTATCTACACGATCAGACATTCGAACATGATAGCATGATCTTCTGCCGAATTCATCAGTCTCTGACCCATCACGGACAAAAGATTTTTCAGATGGCAATAATTTAGGACATCTTGCTGATAGGATAGCCGCATGAGCACTTAGAGATTCACCATCTGCAAGCAACAGTTCCAGATCAACTAGCTCATTATCACACAAAACATTTCTCATATTTCCTCCTAGCTTGCTTGGAAAACCACAGAGGCCAAACAAACTCAGTATATGTGCAATATAAGACTTGGGCCCTGGGCTCATGTTCTGACACAAGGCATGTTTGAGGACTCCAACCAAACCTTCGGTGTAATAATCTCTGCACCCATGGCACACAATCCCCACATCTAACTTTCTTTTACAGTGAAAACAAATAAAGCTGTCACTCTTCAGCAGATCAAACAATACTACGAGACCATAAAAGAAAACAATATTTTCACCTTCCCACTCTTCAGAGAGATAGCAACATGAACTTCCATCAAAACAAAATTGCAGATGAGAAGCAAAGTTTGATCTCGTAATGTACAAATGACCGTGCAGACATTCCTTAATAATGCTGGATAATACATCTACAGCACTCCTCTTGTTGAGACTATGGTTAGATTGCACTATCAACAAGCATGCTATGTTCATGAGGTTAGTCATGATCTTGACACAGTCAAAAGATGCCGTAAGATTTCTGGTAACATTTGATTCTAGTGATGACATGAGCATGTTCATATATTCGTTGCCTAATGGTAGAACAGCTTCCAGAAATTTAGAACTTGCCTCAGAGAAAATGAATTGGCTAGGAGAGAGAAGCATCATAAGAACTGCCCTCAAAGCTGGCTCCTGCTCCTCTTTAGACAATTTCATGGGGCTGTTTTTCAGAGGTAAATCCGTCGCCAATGAGCTGCACAAAGAAGCATGAGGTAGATAAAATTAGATCTGAACATGAATATAAAGTTCCTTGTGGCACTGAAGAGATATTCTAGAAAAATTGCACTCGAACAGGATACAACCTAGTACCTACCAAGCACATGATATCAGTCCCTGCAAGAAACTATTCTGTCGTTTCCCTATGGAAAGATGCTCATTATCGCAATGTACTGCTAAATATCCGAGTATATCCCATACATAGGGATATATATTCATAATGTCTTTGGAATCTATATTGAACAGCTGGCCATAGCACAAAGTCCGATGTGCGTGATGTGAAGAGTTGTAGCTCCCAGAAAGAATCTTATATAGTACTTCATCAATAGCATTAAACCAGAAGCATCTATGATGATTCCCAGAATAACGAAGGGCCAGTAATGCAGTCTGACATCCCTCTCTTACTAATGTTTTTTCATCAATCTCAGACATGGCATTGGTTATGCCTTGAACAATAGGCTGACAATGTGCAGTCATCAACTGATCGCAGCCCCTTGAAGATCTCTGTATGCAACAAAGCCATTTTAAGTCTCTCTTTCTGGGGAAAAAACATGCATAGTACATGTGTCATATTATTCAACCACCAAATTCTGTTGATACGAATCTTACCAGAAAAACCTGGCAGAGCCTTAATGCTTCAATCCTAGTGACAGTAGGATGAGATTTTCCCATAAGGTCACCGGTCTTAGTGATCAACTCTTCATTCTTAAGAAGGACCATCGCTCCATTGCCACATAAAGCTGAATTACAGTTACAGGTTTTCAGGTGCGCAAGAGGAAACCAAATGAGAATGCAAAATATCTATGGGAAACTTGACACAGAAGTCAAAGAGGAGAATTACCACAGGCACAGATGTACCTAAAGCAGCATATAGCTTAAGAACTTTCGTAGAAACTGTTGTTTCAGCGCTAAGACAGCAATGTGCTAGTTTTGCCATCAAGTTGTGGTTGCTCCATACATGGTATCTCGAGGAAGGCCAAATCCACAGTATACTTCTTAGCAGAGATATCATGTCCGTCAGATAGTTCAGGGGGTAGGCGTCTTCAGTGTAATTCTGTAGAGCTGAAATAACACTTGCAACCGCATTGGTTTTGTCCAGAGCCTCCCAAATTTCTGCCTGAGTTGAAGCTCTCGCTGTAACTAGGCTGTTCAATATACAGGTCAGTGCAGTTGCACATGGTACAGCAATACGTAGCTGGTTCGCAGACAAATGGCATGAGAGGGACGAAACCATCTCCAAAACTGAGTATTGGCGAACAGAATTTCCTAAGGTAGAGACAAACTTTGAGCTCACGTCAGCTGCTTGGATCAGAACCGAAATGTTCTCTGTCTTAAGAATACCTTCCAGAGCTACAAGTATATCTGAAATCGACTCCTGGTAAACAAATACTTTAGGCGTATTTTCATGTTTATATATACATAACATAACACTCTGGAAGAGTATACCACAAGGACATTAGGGAATAACTTGGAACAGCTGAGCAAGGCATAGTATCACAAACTGAAATACAGGAGATTTTACCTTTATAGGAGGGAGTTTCAGCAGTTCATTTGAAAGACAACCGACAAATGCACCCACCGATTTGAGCACGTGAGACTGTACTCCAGCATCAGTAGACTGCCATTTTTTAGCACCGTGGCCATCAGACCTGACATATACATAGAAGATAAAAAACAGAGCAAGGAGAACACAAATCTTGGTGAGAAAACATCCCTGCAACCAAATTCTTTCTCTAATAATTTGATTCTATATTTCTATCCCATGTCTCTAAATATTAAAGTAACTATGTCCTGTATGATATGTATTATACAAACCCAGGGTTCAACCCTTTATTGTTTTCAACTTGGAGCGTGAAATCACCAAAGTTACGAACCGAGCTACCGAAATCACTGACGCGCACACGCACGCTTGTTTGCGTAGTGGAGAAGTGCTAATTCATCGGCACGGTTGTAGTCTTGTAGATAGAGAAGTAGAGATGCTATGAATTCGTCGTCAGAGTGTGGGAATCAATAATTACTTGGTGAGGCCGAGGGCGAGAGCGTCGTGGAGGCGGGTGCGGAGGGGGAGGGCCTGGCCGGTGAGCAGCTGTTCGGCCGCAGAGGCGCCCTTCCTCCTGCCCTTCTCCCTCCCGGACGGCGACGGCTTGGAGGCGGAGAAGGCCGGTCGCATCGCGTCCTCCTTGCTGGAGCCTGGACGCTGGAGGCAGGCAGAGATGAGAGAAGCGAAGGGAAATCGAAGCGACGGTTCAGACTCAAAAGGAGGCGCTTGCCCGGTGGGCTGGGCCGGGCCGGGAAGGAGAGGCTGCATTGTTGGGATGGCCTCCATCATTTTCTTTGGGACCCTGCGTTCAAAAATGTGAATTGTTTAAAGAAAAATAATATAGTATACACATTTACATCTAAGAAGCAAGTAAATGTTTTATGCTATGATGATTTTAATAAAAATTCGTTGATGATGTAGATTTTGAAACATATTTTTTCTAAGATTGGTCAAACTTATAGAAATTTGACTCGAGAGAAAACTAACACGACCTACGTTAATGAAAAGAGTACATCCTTCTGTGCGGCGCCAAGCACGCTTTCTTGAGTTTCCAGTTCACATTTATATATGCTTCACTGTAGACACTTGCATGTAAAAAGGACCGGAAAATCAAATTGAAAGGGCAACATCTGGCAGGAGGTAGAATGGTTTGAACAAGGTAGATGTACAGGGGCGGAGCTACGTGGTGGTCCGGGTGGTCCGCGGACCACCGGTGCATACCAGGCCCATAGATATAGAAAAATTCAGTCAGATCGGATACGTACGTCCGAGCGTCCACGGCCTCCGCGAATACGCCCTGAGGCTGTTCTGCGCTCCTTCGTATTTCTCCGTGCAGCCGCTATGCGCCCCTTCGTATCCCCTTGATGAGTTGTGCTTCATAGAATTCGATATACCAAACGATAGCGGCGGCAGGCGCCGGACGACGAGCAGCCGCACACGTGAGTCATCCGCAGGTATACGTCTCAACATCTTCATCCAATTAGCCTGCTCGTTTAGTGATGTTTCCTTTTTTTTCTCTTCCAATCTCTCCTTAGAGCTAGAGAATAAGTAAATTAGCCTTAACTCGAGCAGAACGCATACATCAGCAATTGCTGGTGGCTACCGGGCGGTAATCAGCGACACCGATCCATCCACCATCAGCGGGCGGTAATCAGCGACACCGATCCATCCACCATCAGGCATCAGACGTTCAGAAGCCGCAAGCCACAAGATACACAAAATTTTATTTTATTTTGTGTTATTAGATTATATTATTGCACGGTCGCATTAGACTATTTAATTTTAATTGTAGGATAAGATTTTTTATGTAAAATTGATTATTGGAATGGTAAATTAAAACAATATTTTTTTATTCTCTTGCAGACTTATAGAAATATGAAAAGGAGTGGTGATACTGCCTCTCTTTTTCAAAAATATGCGTCAAAGAATATATTCTGCAATGACCTTTATCAAGAATAAGTTGAAAAACTCTGTGCGCCTTTTTTTTCTTTAATTGTGTTTTGTATAATTCATATACTTATGTACCAACATGTTAAATTTAGTTAACAAAATTTTTAACAATGGACCACCATAACTACAAATCCTGGCTACGCCACTGTAGATGTAGCACGACAGTCAAGACCCCCACCTACTGCATACAAAACCACTGCAACATCTGGCAGGAGTGCAGGAGGAAGAATGGTTGAAAAAAAGGATCACTGCAACAAAGGATGGGGATTCTGGGAGGGCAGGTGCCGTCCACGCGTTGTTGGTCTGCAATGGTGGCGAGTGACTGCAGCACGCTGTCATGGCCACACTCCGTCCTATAAGCCAGTGTCATGCTGGCAAGCTCATGCTTTCCCAGGATTGAAATTGGGGCTCTGGAAAAAAAAAGTGAAACCAAAAGGATTCAGGCATCAACTCTGGACAATGCAAAGATTAAGAAGCTCAATGCATGGATATCTTCACTAACAATGTCTACTTTAGAAATACAGGACACCAATTGATTATGCCCCAGCAGTCAGTAATACCAACACAATTGAAAAAAAATTCATAAACTTCTCAGTCATGACTGCCAGTGAGATATTAATCACCACCACATGGCCAGGGTAGCCATTAAACAAGATGAAAATCGGTAAGCCCGAACGAGATTACCTGAAGAATTCACCCAATATACTGACATTGTTCACATGTTGGTTGTTGACATCAAGAGATCTCCCCAGGGCTGTTAGACATGACGGAGTTCCATGAGAAATATTACGTAAAAGAATGATCATGATAACTGAGTGACAGTTAAGCAAGAAAGCATGATTATCCAACTCAGTAAGACCCTTCCTTATGAAGAGTGTCACCATCAAAAAGTGCTCCCAGCTTTCACTTTTCTCATCTATTATGACTGTTGAAATCTCAGACCTAATTTCATCTGGCATTTTAGAAGGCCTTCTAGTGTTCTTATTATCACCACCCAAACACTGCAAGAAAAAATCAAACCGTAAGAAAATCATTTTCAAAGATGGAAGTGCTTATCAATGAGAAAAGCAGCGAATGCAAATACAGATGAAATACAAACCTTCTAAGCTCACAAGATTGTATGGCCAGAACTGTAGTCTTGACACATGCTATTTTTACCACTAGCAGCTACCCATGTGTTCACTTGGACCGTATCTCCCCTAAAGTTATGGCACGTTTGAAACAATATTCTGTCAATTTTTCAGCCCATTAACAAATGCTACACTGCTACAACTATATCTGAACCACAAAAACTGCAGTTGAAATTATACTTTCTTTCTCCAACAAGGTAAACTGAGAATAGAATGACTTGTCACTTGCATTGAACAAATGAAAGTTGTGGCAGGCACTGATTTTATGAGCACTCAAATGATTTGCTGAAGTAGTAAATAAATTAAATGCGATCAACCGGTCCAGGTCAAGGACATATTCCCATGGCAACCCACATTTGTTTCTTACTATGAAATTGTTATTTCACCAACAAAATTCAGTTCTCATCCCTTGATGAGTACAATCTAGGTCGTACCTTTTTTATTCAAAAATTTCAAAGGACGACAAAATGCAACTTAATTCAGCAGTTCTAACCATCACATATTGCCTTACCAAACAAATGACTTCCAATGCCATGCTGTTCTTTTTAACAAAAAGCTTTCAATACCTTGTTCATTGTGAACTCAGTCATGACAAATAATAATATAATATTTATACGTATTAGTGTTTTGCTTAGGTGCCCACACGTCTGACATGAATTTTGAACACCAAGAATTTCACACACTCAGCATGTCACTGAAAAGCAACAAAGCAATCATCTCCTTGGTAATGCCTTCGATGTCAGGGGATGATTAGGTAACAACATAATTTACTAGATTTTACCTGCTTGGTGACAAACAGACAAGTTTCTGCATAAGTGATCCATTGGCCATGGCTCCACCAGGAAATGTTGAAACATGACCTCAATAATCAGCAGTGGTAGGCTGTAGGCAGTCTTGTATTCTGGTACCTTGTTGACATGCTGCTGTTATGTAGTACACATCAGTAAATCGTGATGGGATGTTAACTCCAGCTATAGCCAACTTCTTTCTCAGTAGCAGCATTTCTAATTTGACTTCTCAAATTTTCCATCACGTTCCATCTTTTGGTTGATCCATTTACACTGATGAGATGCAGGTACGGCATTTTAGTAGTAGGTTTGATGGAAATTAACTGACTCGCTGCATGCTCTGCCAACCTGTCATTGCCATTCAATCGGCAACTGCTCAAGAGAGAAGTCCAAATTGCAAAGTCTGGTTTAAATGGCATTGACTTCATTAACTCTTCAGCCTGTTCAAGCATGCCTGTCCTACCGAACAGATCAACCATGCAAGCATAATGCATTTTATTTGGTAAAATTCCATAATTACACGTCATCATACTGAAGAAATGTTTGCCTTCCTCCAAAAGGCTCATGTGATTGCATGCAGAAAGTATACCGAGAAATGTGATCTCATCAGGATCAACTTGGGCCTTTTTCATGTTATCAAATGTATCAATAGCATTTTGACCAAAACTGTTGAATGCATATCCACAAATCATTGTGTTCCATGTCACTACATCTCTGTTGTCCATGCCATAAAAAATGGCTTGGGCAATAATCATTTCACCACATTTGCAATATATACTGATGAGTGAATTTTGAATTAATAAATGTGATCCAAACCCAAGCCTGATAGTAGAAGCGTGAAACTGCTGGCCATGAACAATCATAGAATGATGTGAAAAACAGCTAATAAGGCTAGAAAGAATGGAATCACTTGGCCGTATATTTGACAGTAGCATCTTCTTATACTGCTTAAGTGCATCATTGTTTAAACCATTTTGAGCAAGCCCATTGATCAAACAGCTCCAGGTCACTAAATCTCGTGTTGGAGATTCATCAAAGAGCTTGTAAGCTTCAGTAACCTTACCTTGATGAAGCAAACCAGCTATCATCACATTGTATGTGACAACAGTCCTTTTGTGCATCCTACAGAAAAGGTCCAGTGCATCATATATATACCCTCCTTTCACATATCCAAAGAGTAAAGTGGTGCAGGAAATCACATCTACTTGAGGCATACTGTAGAACACATCCCGAGCTTTATCAAGCATTCCATTTTCTATAAAACAAGACATCAAAGTAGTAGATGCTTGCAAATTCTTTTCAGGCATCTTTGAGTACAACTCAATAGCGTCAGGAATTTTTCCATATTTGACATAGCCATTGACCATCAAATTCCACGAGATCTTATCTTTGCCATCCATGGAATAAAAAATCTTTCTAGCCTCATCAATCTTGCCTGCATGGATACAACCAGATATGATAGCATTCCATGAGCCAACATGCTTTCTTTCCATTTTATAAAATTCCAACTGTGCCTCGTCGATATCTAAGCAATTACAGTACATTACAACTAATGATGCCTCGATGATGTGGTCATGAATAAACCCAGACTTGACAGCAAACCCATGAATACACCTGCCCCCTCCAATACTTTTCAAGCCAGCATAAGCATTAACAATCTTAACGAGGATTGCATTTGTCACTGCGTCCCTACTGCTCATCAAAGTGTTGAATAGTTCAATCACTTCTCTGAATCGCTTGTGGTTGACAAGGCCTCCAATCATGACGCACCATGACACAGAATTCTTTGCGGGCATAAGGTTAAACAGCTCCAATGCCCAACCCACCTCATGCACAATAAAAAGGCCTTTGATCATCACAGTCCAGGACACAACATTGCGCTCTGGCATCTGATCGAAGACCCTGCGAGCATCCTCTACCCTGTGGTTCATCACAAGGCCTGATATGAGAGCATTCCATAAGGCCACGCTTGGACTGTCGACATCATCCACAATCTGCTCCAGGCAGCTGAACACCCCACAGTTGGCATACATCGTGATCAAGGAGGACCCCACAAACACGTTCAATGAAGATCTGGTCTTGGTTGCAAGCCCATGGATGCACCTCCCCAGAGCTAGAGTCTCCATCCCTGCGCAGGCCAACAGCACAGTGGAGAAGGACGTGTGGTCCACACAGAATCCCTCACGCCTCATCTCGAGGAACGCAGTAACTGCACTGTCATGCACCCTGGAACGGGCATATGCGGCCATGAGGGAGTTCCAGGACACGACGTCCCGCTGTGGCATTCTGTCGAACACCTCCCGCACAGCATCCACCCTGCCAGCATGCAGGTGCTGCCCAATCAGCCTGTTTGCTAAGGTTATCGCATCGCAAGCGCACGACGTGCATGCCAGGGAGGACCTGGAAGGCCCAGTGCGGTGAGCACAGTATGACGCAGCTCGCGCCAACCCGAGCGGCATCTATGCCAAAGCTGCTCAGCTGCTGTTGAGAGAGGAATGGGCTCAGGAAAACCACGGCCTCAGTTGTGCCATGCCGTTGTCTTGCCCATGAGTGGTAGACTGGTAGTGGACCGGACCAAGCCTCTGTCTTGCCCATGCTGTGAAGTGAATCTGGAATTATAAGCAGCAATTAGTTCCGTATTACCATTTGACTTGACTCATCAAGGTTACAGATACGATACCCATATAATATTCTTATTCTAGTACAAATATTCAGAGGCCTGGTTCATGAAGATACTTTCACATATTCTCCTAACAGGAAACAAAATCACCACATATCATCATATTGGTCACCAAATCTCAACACACTTCCTCAAATAAAAATCTGTACTTGTTCCAGGGAAGACGTAATACCATTTCGAAGCTCTGAAAAGGGCAAGGCCAAATACTAAAGCATCTCCAGGAGACACTGTAAATTCCACCCTCTATACCTTCAACTGCCGATCCACTCTGTTCTCCGTCCATATCATTCAGCACTACACAACAGACTAGCCAAATGACCAAATCTCACCCTCCATTCAGCACTACGCAGACTAGCCAAATGACCAAACAGACTAGCAATTCAAGGGCGGACTCGAGTCTGGGGGGAACCATGCGCGGCCACGCGACGCATCGGCCGACGGCCGGGGAGGAGGAGGGTCGCAGCGGCTGGGGAGATGGAGAGGCGACGCAAAAATGGCAGGACAAAAGATGATGGAGGAGCTCTCACCAGAGTCGTCGAGGTCGGGGGAGCACCGGCTTCGTCGGAGAAGCGCCCGTGGCGGCTGGCCTGCCTGCCTGCTACGGCCGCGCGGGAACAGAGCGAAACAGGGGCAGACCTACCGCTACAGCAGCGCGGGGCGGCCGCCCCAGACCCCAGGTAGCCGGCGGCGCGAGACCCTACACCCTGCGAAGGAGCGACGCGCACGCGCCGACGACGGCGAGTGGCAGTGAGAACACGACCCCCGACGCCCCCTCTGTTTCAGTCATTGGGCTGAGTAAAACTGGGCCGCAGGCTACTGTACTGGCCCAAATAGCAGGGCTGTTCGTCTGTGGCTTGGCCCAAATGTCGCCCAACGCTTGTGCTCTGTCTAACTCTGCGTTTTTAATTTGACAGGTGGCCGTTTTTCTTTTGATAATTTTATGTATGCCATATTTTGGGAGCAAAACACTCCTCCCACTTAAATTGTCTAGGAACATAAGGTTCGGGTTGAATACTATTAGAATAAAATCAAGGTTGTGTCCCCATTAACAATATTCAATATTGTGTTTGGTATAGGTACTCCTAATTTCCTAATAATCGGTCGAAAATAAGGGGTCACAGGCACAAGCTAACGCTATTGACAGGCGGCATTAGCGATTTGCTGGCAAGTTTGGCTCACAAGAAACATTGCAATTTGCAAAAATTACCATTCCAAAACTTTTTTTGCGGATGCTTTGCAAGAGAACGCATTGGCTATGGTTCTAGGTTCAGTTGCTACGCTTGGATGACTCCAAGGAGCAAATCATACAGGCATGTCAGTTTACATAGACAAGAGCCATGATGTTCTTCGAATCACATGGGTTTTGTCTTTTGTTGTGAAAATGTTTTCAAAACATGTTCAATTTCAGAAGAAAAAAATCACGAGCACCAGCGGACGCAAAGATTATAATGAGTCGAACGTTCTTTCCGTATGGCTTGCAAGTACTGAGGGAGAAATCAAAGAATCAAATCCAAGTTTTATTTAATTTGTCCCAATTGCTATGGCAGCAAGAGATTACGTCGGCCAGTAGTTTATTGGGCAAATTGTGTTGCTGCCCTCATTTTTACATGCAATTGTACGTTGCCCCTGCTTTTTAGGCTTTGCAGATTCGCCCTCGCTTTCTCGATTTCAATCTTCCATTTGCCCTCTGTTCTAAACACCGTCACCTGAAGCAAATTAATGGAAAAGACAAGGTAAAATAAATGAAAACGGGAAGCCCATATGACTTTCATATCGCTGTCTTATTCTCCACATGCACAGTTTCCTCCTCTCTTAGCTTTCCGTACTTGCTGGCCGCAGGGGCAACGGCGGGTGAGCGGTGGCGCAGGCTAGCAGCATGGCAGGCAAGCGGCTAGCGGGGCAAGCTATGCAGGCGGCGTCCGACGCGGCGAGCTGTGGTCTGACACCGTTAGTATCGCTTGACGGAACGAGGGCAACACGAACACGTACTCAAATTCAGAAAGTGGGGGCAAATATGCAAAATCTAAAAAAGGAGGGTAAACATACAGTTAGAAATGAAAATGAGGGCAGAAATGTAATTGCTCCAAGTTTATTTGGTGCATAAATCAGGTTTGGCACCCGGAGTTGTTTACTTGGACGCGTGAAAATGAAAGTTGTTATCTTCCTTGCTGCATCGTCGTACGGGGTTGGTGTCTACGAGAACAATGTTTCACATCAAACACGAATTGAATTAGCCCCTACAACAGGTATGTGATCCTTGGGGGGCCCTTGAGTATAACGTTAATGTGGTTTTAGTCAAATTCATCGCTTTTTTTTTGAATAATTAAGACCTTGTTTTGGTGTAGTTTTGAATAGCATCAATCCATATGGGTTGGGGTGCATCGGAGTGGAATTTAAACTAAATTCCACCTCAATCCACCCAACACATGTGGATTGTGTTAGATTGGTCTCTAATCCTAATTAGACCCAACGGCTTAGTTGGGCCTTTGATTTGCGCCCTGATCGGGGGCGTCCAGCCCACCATGGCTGGAGGCCTGGGTGCGGGCAGCGCGCGCAGAGAAGTGGGTCGAGCTGGTTTTCCTTGCTGGGCTAATGAACAGTGATGAAATGAGTCATTTTTTGTTTTCTTTTTTTAGTAAATATTTATTTCCTGGAAAATAGTTAAATGGCTTAAAGAAAATAGAAAAGAGAATTTTCCTGTGGGTAAAATTCATTAAATTGAGATTATTTTTCCGCTGCGTATTTAAAGTTGTTATTTTCATTATTAAATTCGAACCAACGGGAGAATTTAATTTTGAAAAATGGATATGTTTTTAGCTTATTATAATATTGTTGTTATTCTGACCAACGTTGTTTAATGATAATATTATGATGAGTTTTGTCATGCATTAATTCTATTTCTGCCCAACGGTGATGTAGAATTAGTGTAGAGGACAATTGTATGTTTTAATTTTGACCAACGTTGGAACTAAGGCATGCAATTGTTATTGTTATTATTTATGTTCTCATTCACTATGAATTGTATTTTCAGACGGATACAACTTGATGGGTTGTATCAAAGAGATCCCCACTCTCAAAGGTGATAACTACACGGAATGGAAGAAAAAGATTGACCTGGCCTTCATCTTGGCTGAGGTGGACTGGGTAGTCATCTCACCGTGTCCCACTAAACCTGTGGCATCGGTGAGGGAGACAAACGAGGCTGATGCCGCTTGGGCAACCAGAGAAAGGGATTTTGCATCCCAAAAGATGTCCTATGACCTTGAGCATAGAAAGTGAGTCACTGCCAACAAGAAATGTATGGCTGTGATAAAGAACACGATTGAGCCTGCAATTGTGGGCTCAATTCTAGAGTGTGACACCGTTATAGAGTACCTCGATAGAATAAAGAGTCAGTTCATTGGCTCTTTAAAGACATATGCTACCCAACTGATAAAGCAGCTGGTGACAGAGAGGTACTCTGGATAATTATGGCATAAGAGAGCACATACTAAGGATGAGCAATTTAGTATCCAAACTAAAACCAATGGATCTGGCTCTCAAGGAAGAGTTCCTTATCCATTTGATTTTTGCTTCCTTGCCAAAAGAGTTTGACACTTTTATTGTCAACTACAATATACAGCCCGAGAAGTGGGACATGGAGAGGCTCATGGCTATGTGTGTGCAAGAGGAGAGAATGAAAACTACCAATGGTGACACTATCAATTATCTTAAAGACAACAAGAAAAAGAATATTAATACTAACCCCTCCTCAAAGTCAAAGGGAAAGGGTCCCATGCTGCATCAGCCTCAGCAGAACAAGTTCACAGTAGAGAAAGTTCAGTGTCTTTATTGCAAGAAAACGGGACATTATAAGAAAGATTGTCCTGATTACTTAAAGATGATCATGACAAAGAAAGGTGAGAACATTGTTACGTTCATAAATGAATCCATGTATGTACAGTATTCGAAATCTACTTGGTGGATTGACTCAGGAGCAACTGTTTATGTTGCCAATTCTTTACAGGGATTCCGTTCGACAAGGACTACGCAAAGAAGCGAAAGACACGTTAAAGTTGCAAATAGAGTCCGAGCAGATGTCGAAGCCATTGGCGATCTTTCTCTAGAGCTTGCTGATGGCTTCACACTTTTACTCAGAGATGTATTATATGTTCCCTCCCTACAAAGAAACTTGGTTAGTGTTTTATGCTTGGACAATGATGGATATGATTGCTATTTTGGAAATGGCAAATATAAGATAACATTTAATAATACATGTGTTGGTCTTGCTATCTTACAAAATGAGCTTTATTTGTTATCACTACGTGATGATGTGAATGTTGTATGCGATGATGGGAATGTTGCGTGCGACAATGAGAATGTATTCTCGTCTACGGATATAAACAGAAAACGAAAGAGAGCTCACGATGTGTTGTCGAAATTATGGCACTGTCGTTTAGGCCATATCTCGAGAGGGAGAATAGAAAGACTAGTTAAGAATGATATTCTTCCTCCATTAGAGCTCAGATTTAGAACGATGCAGAGAATGCATAAAAGAAAAGTATATAAAAAATTAAGAAAGATGTCAAACGAAGCGCAGGAATTTTACAGATTATTCACACAGACATCCGTAGTCCGTTTCCTGTAAAGAGTGTGGATGGTTATGATTCGTTCATAACATTCATAGATGATTATTCCCGTTATGGCTACATTTATCCAATCAAAGAAAGAATAGAAGCATTGGATAAATTTTAGACATTTAAGGCAGAAGTTAAAAACCAACATAATTTAAAGATTAAGATAGTCAAGTCCGACCGTGGGGGCGAGTACTACGGTCGGCATACTCCATATGGCCAAGTACCTAGACCTTTTGTAAGATTCTTACAGGAGAATGATATAGTAGCCTAGTACTCTACACCGGGCGAACCTCAGCAGAATGGAGTAGCTGAAAGACGCAATCGTACCCTAATGGATATGGTGCGCAGTATGATAAGTTACTCCACCTTACCGTTGAGCCTGTGGATGGAGGCGTTAAAAACCGTCATTCATATTCTCAATAGAGTACCAAGTAAGTCGGTGCCCAAAACACCGTATAAGTTGTGGACAGAAAGAGTACCCTTACTAAACCACTTACGTGTGTGGGGGAGTCCTGCTGAGGCTAAAGTATTTAACCCAAACATTAGGAAACTAGATCCCAAAATAGTAAGTTGCCATTTCATTGGCTACCCAGAAAAGTCAAAAGGTTTTTGTTTCTACTGTCCAGACAGACATACAAAGTTTGTGAAAACAAGACACGCTGTCTTCCTAGAAGATAAAATGATGAGGGGGAGCATGGTAGCTCGAGAAATTGACCTTGAAGAGAAGCGGGTGTATGCGCCCACTCCGATGATTCATGAGCCATTTTTGTCACTATCTACTATCGCTGCACCGACAGTGCAAGATACTGTGGTGCCAGCACCTGTTGTTATTCCGCATGTGGCAACAATGAATGACGATGAGGAACCTGTTCTTCAGGATCCTGTAGAACCTATTGCCATACATGAGGGGGAGCAACAACAGCCTCAAACAGAATATGTGCCAAATATGGAGGCCCCTAGAAGGTCTTAAAAAGTTAGAAAATCCGCTATTCCTGCTGACTATGAAGTATGTAACACTGAGGAATTTCAAATGAAGCATGATCCCACCTCATTTGAAGAAGCCATAAGAAGTGATCATTCATTAAAGTGGCTTGAGGCCATGAAAGATGAAATGAAATCTATGAATGCCAATAAAGTTTGGGACTTGGAAATAATTTCTAAAGGAGCCAAAACAGTAGGCTGTAAATGGGTCTACAAAACAAAACTTGACTCTCAAGGGAATATAGAGAGATATAAAGCGTGACTTGTGGCAAAAGGCTTTACACAAAGAGAAGGGATTGATTACAATGAGACCTTTTCTCCAGTCTCATGTAAAGA